AGCTACAATTAAGCCCTGGATTTCAATGTTACTGTCTGTGAATCTTGACATATTAAAGAGTCCTCCAATTTTTGCTCCTTGGCAGGTCAATGTGACAATCCAAGGCTGGGATTAACTGTAATTTTTCATGATTCTATCTTATTGGTTACTGAAGAAATGATTTGTGATGCCTGAAAATATTACTCCCATTTGTTCAAAGTTGTTCCTCTGGAAGGAGATGATTATTAAGTGAGAACAGAGAGCAATGGAGAGAGAAACCTATGTGTTGAGAGAGATGTATGAAAGAGAGAACAGGAGACATCTGCAGAGAAATCCGGAGACATGTGCACAGAGACCTGAGAAAGGGAAGTGATGAGTGTGGTGTAGGCGAGATGTAGCTGATGTGTAGGAAAAGTTCAAGAGAGGAGAAAAGTGTGGAAGATGTAATAAATGAAAGAAAAGTATGACGTGATGTAGCTAAGCGTGTAGAGAGATATAACAGATGTAGGTGTATAAAAGCGAGACATGAATGTCAGAGAGATAGATGTGAGGACAGAGATGTGGCTGTGTGGTGAAAGCTGCAACTGTGTGGTGACTTGTAACTGTGTGGAGACAAGAAATGTCAAGCTGTATCCAAAAGAGATGTGACCGCGTGTAGGGATCCATGGCTATTCGGGAGAGAGAGATCTGTATATTTTGAAAGACAGGCAGTGGTATGTAAACCATGTAGCTGTTGGGAGACAGAGAGATTTTGCAGATTGAGGTTTTTCGATGAAGTTTTTTTCATAAAGTTTCCATCAGAAAATGTGTGTTTCCTTATTTTCACCTGAGGTAGAAAAGTCTAGCCCTAGACGCCTTTGTGGATGTTTTCAAATACCCTGGAGGTGGACTTGGACCAGGCTCTCTCTACGGCCACTGGTATTCAGCTAATTTCATTTTGTTGCTCTAGATGCCACAGAATAACCAGATTGCACAGTGGGAAGAGGGTTTCAATCGGATCTGCAACCAACTCCTCTGGCCCACTGAAATCTTCTTGAAATATTTACTTTCCTTTGATTATCTTCTTCCTGAGAAAGTACTGGGACAGATGTTTCAAGTCTCCTAAGATGACCTTTGGCTTCTGTATGTGTCAGAACCTCCAATTTGTCAGGATAATTTTCAACAAGAAGGATATCTACCTAATAGCGTGAAGGGTAGGACGCTACCTAGAAAATTAAAGAAGAAGCATGTGGGGGTAGGGGGGACAAAACGATTCATAAGAAATTTCCCAGAGGTGGTGGTGCATGCCTTTATCCCAGCACTTGGCATGCAGATGCAGACTGATCTCTGTGGGTTCCAGGGCTGCCTGGTCTACAGAGAGTGTTCCAGGACAGCCAGTGATATACAGAGAAACTCTGTCACATCTCTCTCTCCCCTCCCCTTCCCCCTCTCTCTTCCCCTCCCTTTCTCTCTTTCTCTCTCTCCCTCTCTCTCCAAACTCCCCTGACACACATATAAAATTTTCAACTAATAATCTAAGCAACAGAGGAGAGGCTCTCCCCCCGATATTGAGATTGATGACTGACTTACATGCCATATTATAGCCTTCATGCAGCAGCTGATGGAAGTAGAAGCCACCACACACACCTAAATTCTTAACTGAACTGGAATCTAGGTGCAGAGAAGGAGGAGAGATGAGCAAATCGGTCAAGATCAGGCTGGTGAAACCCACAGAAATAGCTGACCTAAACAAGTGGGAGGTCTTGGTCCCCAGGCCCATAGCTGGGAAACCAGCATGGGACTGATCCAGACCCCATGAACCTGGGTGTCAGTGAGGAGACCTTGGAAATCTATGGGCTCTCTA